AACTGAGTTATTTCTGTTTTTATTTTTATCTTACAGATACCAGGAAAGACAGGAACAGTAACCATATTCCCAAATCATAGATCTTTATATTAATTTTTCAGTGTTCGGGTGTTTACAGAAGATTATTTGAAAACTTGATTTGGAATCAAAGAGCATGGATCTCAGCAGTGACTACCATTTCCTCAATCAGATTTTGTGGAGGAGAGTGAAACTCACTTTGGTTTCTGGCATCTTTGAAGGCGTGCTCCAGCATGTGGACCCTACTAAAATTGTTGTCCTGAAGAAAGGTCTTGTTCAATTTTTCTACTCTTTTGTCTCTTAAGAGGTTAATGACTGAGTGTGAGTGATGACTTTGGGCTCATTAGCAACTGGGAGAGTGCTATTATTTTTATTTTAGGGGTAAGATTATAGGAAGATTACAGTTTCCTATAACAGAGGACTGTGTCTGCATATGCTGGTTAGTTCTAATTTCTTTTTCTTTCTTTTTTAAAGATAGGTAGGGTCTTGCTATGTAGTTCAGGCTGGCCTTGAACTCGAGGCTATCCTGCCTCAGCCTCCTGAATTCTGGGATTACAGGTGTGCACCACCATACCTGGCCCATTCCTTTACTTTTATTGACATGATGTAGACATTTTCAATTGAGTAGTTCTCTTAATTTCACTCCTCATGCATCTTAAAATTAAAAGTACTTATGTTAAAATTGCTTTTTGCCTCAACAGGTGAATCACAAAGGTAGTTCATTTTTCTCAGAGGTAAGCTGCTGAGCAGTGCAGTGGCTTAAAAAGCAATGGCTGCAGCCTTGTGCTCTTGCTTTTCTACCTCAGTGGCCATCTGTCATTCTCATGGGTCACAGGGTAGTCTGCATCTCTCAGCTTCAATTCTGGTTTCTCAGAAAGGACACAACTGTACAGGTATTGTGGCACCTGCCTATAATCCTAACAATCAGGAGGCTGAGGCGGGAGGATTGCTATGAAGCCAGTAGGCCTGGACTACATAGTGAGTTCAAGACTAGCCTGAACCATATAGCAAGCCCCTATCTCAAATAAACTTAAAAAAAAGAAACAACTGAGGAATAGAAAACTGGAAGAGATACATTGGGAAGTGTGAGGGAGGGATGTGGTCCTTCCATGCACTCCTGGTGTACCAGCATCCTTGCCGGTATCCACTGTCTCAGAAGTTCCAATATATAAGGTTTCTACTTACCTAGAGTATTGAGTTGAAAGGGTTTTCCTTGGTTTATAAATTTTTCAAGTTAACAATGGAAGCAAATAATGGTATTTGAAAAATTAGTTTTGTTGTTAAACCATATTTTTGAGTTAAAATAGGCTTTCATGGATGAGTATGGGACTATGGGCTTTTGTAACATTAATCAATTAGGTATTATTTTATTGGTTTTATACTCCATGTACTATACTTGGTACTAGGAGTACAGATCAGAGTAACATGGTCTCAGTTCTCAAAAAACTTAGTCTTTAGGGAGACAAATGTAACAGACCATGATCAACTCTGATAGAGGGAGGCAAGGTGCTTTTACATCCAGGAGTACTTGGGTGAGGATGCTGGGGAAGAGTCCAAAAGTAGGAATTGATTTAGAACTGCATCCAGGTGTGCAGGTATTCACAGTGGCAGAGGGGCAGATTGATTGAAGCCATGATTCTTTCAAACTCCATCCCTACAGCAGAATCACTTTGAGCGTATTATAATAGCATGCTGGGCCCTGCTCCCTGAGTTCTCATTTTCAAGTCTGGGTGGACATAAGCATTCACACTTACAGCAGGTTTTCCTGTGGTGCTTGGCATTGGAGTCAAATTTTATAAGGATTTTTATTTTGAGTAAGGGTAATAGAATGTCCAAATACACACAGACCTAGAAACTTGACATCTTCAGAAATCCTCAGTAGATTTCTACATAAGGTTATGAAGAGAGATGAGTCTGGAGATGTAAGCAGGGGACAGAGCAGAAGAACTTTACGTGTTTAAGGTTTGAACACTACATTGAAAGCAGAGGAATGATCTGAAAGACTTTAAGAGGGGGGCATGTGACTTTCCAGGTTGGTTGCCCACAAAGTTTTGTGCTATGCCAGGACCAGTCCTCTCAGCTGCTAGAGCAAACCTAGTGTTGCTCCAAAGGCTTAAACAAATGAGTTCGTTTCTCATATAAAAGAAGGTAGGCTGCTACGGCATGCTCCCAAAGGCAGCAGGGCTCCCAGCAGGGGCTACTTTCTGCCCCTCTCTTAATATGTAAAAACTGCTGGACTTATAGACTAAAAGACAAAGAGAGGGGGAGAAGGGTGCTTTTCTCAGTCAGTCCCCTGAAGTCATGTCCTGGCTATCCAGCAGGCCACCACTGTCTGCAGGGGAGACTGGGCAGGTTGCCTATGTGAATAAATGGCACTGAGTAGACAAGCAGCTTATTCCCTACAGCCTTCAGCCCAAGTGAAATAGTTTGGTGTTTTTGTGTTTAAACTTTAATTACATAGATTTTATGTAGTTAACGATTATGTTATATATACTATATTTTTAAATTTGAGCAGTGGTCCTGTGCCATTGCTGAAGCTGGCCTTAGAATCCTGGTCCAAGTGGTTCTCCTACCTCAGCCTCATGTGTAGCTGGAGGTATGTACCAGTGCAACTGGATACTTTTTTGTTTTTGTTTTTGTTTTGAGTGTCACTGTGTAGTCTAGACTGGCTGCTCATGGCAAACTTCCTGCCTCAGCTTCCCCAGTGCTAGAATTATAGGCATGTGCCACCACGATAGGCCTTTTTTAATTTTTAGGCTAATTATATTAACCTGGTAAGCCTATTCAGGCATGCTAGCATACCTGTGTAATCTCAGTACAGTACTTTGCCCTTTTTTTTTTTGCAGAACCAGGGATTAAACTCAGGCCCTTGCGCTTACCAGGCAAGCACTTATTCTACTGAGCTATCTCCCCATGCCTTCAGTATAGTACTTTGAAAGCTGTGGCAGGAGAATATTAAGTTTAAGATTAGTATGGGCAAAATAGCAAGGGTGTATCTCAAAATATATGAAGAGTTAGGAATCTAGCTCACTGCTGCCTGGATTGAGCCCTCACTGCCCAAAACAAAACAAAAACAAAGAAGAGTATATTCTATTCAACTTAAATCTTCAATTTAATGACAGAATATTTTATTTTATTTTTGAGACAGGGTCTCACTGCGGTTCAGGCTGGTCTTGAGCTCACTTTGTAGACCAGGCTGGTCTCAAACTTGTAGGGATCCTCCTGCCTCAGCCTCCTGAGTGCTGGGATTACAGATGTGTACCACCATACCTAGCTTAATGATTAAATGTTTTATTTTTATTTTTATTTTTTTGGAACCAAGAATCAGACTCAAGACCTTGCCCTTACCAGGTAGATGCTTATTCCACTGAGCTGTCTTCCCAGTCCAATGAATATTTTAAAGCCAGAAACTTTTAAAACTTTTTTTTGAAGTTCTTTGAGACTCGGTCTTGCTATGTAGTTCATTTTTTTAAAACATTTTTTATTTTTATTTTTATTTTTTATTGATACAGGATCTTACTACACAGTGTGGACTCATAGTGATCCTCTTGTCTCAGCCTCCCCAGCACTGGGATTACAATTGTGCACCAGCATGCTTGGCTTTGGGGCCTATATGGTATGCCCAGAGTTTTGGATCCCACGTGGCATACCATACTAGGAATCAAACGTGGGTCCTAGCACTTGCCAGGAAGGTACTTAGACTGCCAAGCTCTCTCCCTAGCCCAATGGGGTTTTTTTGTTGTTGTTTGGTTGTTTTTTTTTTTTTTGTTTTGTTTTTTTGTTCTTTGAAACAGGGTCTTGCTATGTAGTACAGACTGGCTTCAAGCTTTTTGGCAATTTTCCTGCCTCAGTCTCCCAAGTGCTGGAATTACAGGCATGTGCCATCATGTAAAAACTTTTAATACCGGCAGTTGTTATTTTTTTAGAAATAATTGCTACAAAGGAAATTACTAGGTAAAAGTCAGATTTTTTTCTCTAAAAATTATTAAAAGTTTTATTTACGATTGGAATCATTCAACAAAAAAGCAAAAGCCAGTGAGCCTGAAAAAGGAACTAAGCTGCTCAGAACCTCAGCCACCTCATCGCGGAGCTGCCCTGCGCTGGCCGATACAATAGTGGCTCCACACACAGCAGCTGCACTAACAGCGGCACAGAGTAGCCCCATGAGCTCGCCTGAGTGAAGCGAGGACATGGGGTAAGCGTAGATTCTGCCAGGTAGTGTAAAAAGTCAGATGTTTTAAGCTTCCCCCCCCCCACAATGCTGAGAATCAAACCCAGGGCTTCATGCATGTTATACAAGGACCCCCCCCCCCCCCCCCGAGCTACAGCCTCCCAAGTGCTAGGATTACAGGTATGCGCCACCATGCCTGACTTGTTAAAAAAATTTTTTTTAATTTTTTTTTTTATTTTAACATTTATTGTGTGTGTGTGTGTGTGTGTGTGTGTGTGGCCAGCTCAGCCCACCAGGGGGCGCGGCTGGCTGGCATGTGGTGCTGGAGGATTGAACCGCGGTCCCTGTGCTTTGCCAAGCTTGTTCCAAGTAGGTGCTTTAGACCACTGAGCCATCTCTCCAGCCCCCTTGTTAAAAATTTTTTTGAGCCAGGCATATTGGTATACCTCTGTAATTCCAGCACTGTAGGGTGCTGTGGCAACAGGACTTCCACGTTTAAGCCCAACCTAGGCTACATAGTGATTTAATGACACCCTGTGTCAAAATTTTAAAAAAGGAAGGCTGGCCAGATAGCTCAACAGATTAAAATGCTTGCTTAGGCAGACTCAGGGACCAGGGTTCTATTCCTGGCATGCCATGCTGGCCCTGCCCCTGGGGCATGCTGAGATAGCGATTGAGACTGAGCAGGGTGGCACATGCCTGTAATCCCAGTGCTTGAGAGGCTGAAAACAGGAGGATGACTATGAGTCTGATTTGTGTAGTGAGACCCTGTAAACCCTGTACTAAAATACAAAAAAATAAAAAAGTTAAAAAGTACTGGCGATGCAGTTCAGTGTGAAGGTCTTGGATTCAACCCCCAATACCTTGCACGTAGACACAGACACATACACACACAGAGGAGTACATGAGATAGGGTCTCTATAAATCTTTAGGCTGGGTTTAAATTTGTAATCCTCATGTTAGCCTCCCAGAGTGCTGAGATAATAGATGCCCAGCTTTAAGTGCTTTTGATGTGTATCTTCAAATAACTTTCAAAAGAAATGTCTTTTTAGTTTGCTACTGCAGTATTTTCTGAACTATAGGAAGATAAGCCCAAGCACAAGTTTTCAGGATGATCTTAAGCCTTATACCCAAATAAGCCCCAGTTAAGATCGTCAGCCAGATGGATGCATTTAGTACATCCTTTGGAACACATGACAGATGTATTGATTTATAAAAAATACATAATTAAAATTAACATTATTTACATTAATACTTAAAGTATTTGTAAATTCCCAACTGGGTACCTGTGTAAATAGATGAACCGGAGACTTATTGCTGAATGATCAAACAGAGTCCATATACAATGCAGGAATAATGTGTGCACTTATAAAAGGAGACATGGTCATATCTAATATGAATCGTCACAAATCAGCATGTTGTATGTTGTAGTGGTTGTACTAAATGCACTTGTGTGGGGCAGGGAAGATGACTCAGTAGAATAAGCTCTTGCCTGGCAAGCTCAAGGGCCTGATTTCAATCCCCAGTTCCACCAAAAAAAAAAAAAAAAGCACTTGTGTGTGAAATAGAGAAGTGTTTTCTGAACTTTAGTGCCTGCAAGTTTCTGTGTGGGCCATCATTTTTTTTTTTTTTTAATTTTATTTATTTATTTTGTGTGTGTGTGGCCAGCTCAGCCCACTAGGGGGCGGGACTGGCTGGCATGTGGTGCTGGGGATTGAACCGCGGTCCCTGCGCTTTGCTTAGCCTAGCTTGTTCTAAGTAGGTGCTTTAGACCACTGAGCCATGTCACCAGCCCTGGGCCATCATTCTTAAATGTCATCATTTTTGTTGCCACTCTTGTCTTGTAAGTCTTCAATTAACGCTTGATTTAATGGAAATTCTGTTATGCCCAGTTTGCAAGAGGTCATGACTCAGGTGCAGAATTCCTGGGATAAAATCCCTGGCAGCTGTGTTGCCAATGCACTAGGAGCAGGCTACATGGACAGGAAGTGCTCATTTAAGGAGACTCTGCTGCTGGACATGAGAAATTGGGGCCAAGGGTTATACAGGAAATGGAGCTGCAAGAAATTCAAGATGAATTCAGAGTTTGAACAGTTATTGATGTTCAGAAGATGACATTCCTATATTTGAATAAATATAGATTTTTATACATGAAAAAGTGTAAATTAGATTATTGTACATGAAAAAGTTGTAAATTAGATTATTACACATGAAAAAAAAATCTCCTGAAAATAAGCCTTATTGAGTATTTTGGAACAAAAAAAATAAGACCCACCCAATCTAATTTTTGGAGAAATATGGTAATATATGAGTGAATTACAATAAATAATCTAGCATTGGATTATTTTTTTCCCTTGTGCTAAGGATGGAACCCAGGGCCTTTGCCCTGAGTTATATATCTTTTTAAAATTCAAGACAGGGTCTCACTAAGTTACTGAATTCCTGAGCCTGGGATCAGGTTTGCAAACCTACCCACGCTTCACAGGTTATATGCATACACCACCCTGCCCCATTTTCCATCGAGGTTTTAAAAAGTGTGTATCCTTCCTTCATTTTTTGCTCAGTTTATTTTTATTTTTGGTACCAGAAATTGAACTCAGGATTCTGAGCTTGCCAAGCAGGTGCTATGTCACTCATTTTATAGGCAAATCTAGTATCTCTCATTTTGCCACATTGTAAAAATATTCCTGAAGTATTTTTTCTATAGTTTCTTACTAATTTTATGTACTATTTGGACAAAGTAGGACATGACAGTAGCATGAGGGAAAAACAGAAGTAGGGTAGGATAACTAGGGACGGGGACTATTTAGACAATCTGGTCACAATGAAGGGGATATGATGTTCCGAACCAATTCATGGCAAATGATAGAGATAGACTCTGAGGCTAGGGATATAGAGCTCATTGGCATAGCATCTGCCTGGCAAGTGTGAGGTCCTCAGTATGATTCCCAGCACTAAAAATTAAAAAATAAAAAATAAAATTCACACTAGAGATAGATTCTAGAGATGAAATTTAGGAGATGAGGTAAGTGACCTAGTGGTCGTTTAGATAATAAGCAAAGAACGATGGACAATGATGCCTGTATTTATGACTCAGGAATGTTACTAATTCATAGACCTGAGAAGAGAAGTAGGTGTTTTGGTTGGTGAACATTGTTCAGTTTGAAAATCTTATAGTAAACCACCTATTAGTTAAAAATGAGTGAAGCTTGGAGGAATAATCCATTCTGGAGGAATAATGGTTTCAGGGACAACTGGGAAATGAGTATGATCATTCATTCAAGGAGAAGGAAGGGAGAAAGAAGATATGGCTTTAGGCACCATGAACATGTAAGGGCTAGACAGGTAGTAGAGACAGCAAAGGGGACTAGAAGGAACAAATCAGGAAGCCAGCTGAGTGTGATGGCATAAGAGGGACACTAATTTAAGCGTAGCCCAAGCACTTTAGTGATACCCTAAATTTAAAATTTAAAATACTAATAAGAGAGCTGGGAAGATAGCTTAGTGGTACAGCACTTGCCTAGCATGTGCTAGGACTTGAATTCCATCCTCAGGACTGCAAACAAAAACTGAGGCCTGTGTTTGAATCTCAACTTTGTTTTTACTTCTGGTAGCAGTGCAACCTTGAGCTAGTAATTCATTCTTTCTGATTCCCATTGCCAAATTGGAGAATTGAATGAAGGCAAGTAGCAAGATGCCTGGCATAGCCTAACTGCTGAATGTGGCAACTCTAGGTAATCAACAGGAAGAGAACTAAGCATGAAGAATGTCCTGTACACCAAAGCAAAGAGTAATATTGCCAAAGATCATGTAGGAGTCAAGTGAGACAAGACTGCAGTAATTGGTTTGGATTTGATGAACAGGCAGTTAATCTTTGACCTTAGAATATATTCTGTGGAATAGTGAGGATGGAGCTCAGTTATTTAGATTGCTGAGAGAAATTTGATGAGTCCTTCCATCTAGAAAAATGGCAGCAAACTTTGGACATGACATCTAAACTTCCCCTAACACCCTTTCAGAGAGCCAAGAATTGCATTGTTCCTGATACTTTTGAGCATGTAACATGACATGAAGTGGGTGAATCTAGAAGTAGTCAGGTTCCTTCATTCCCCCCACCCCCGGCATTAGAAGGAGTAAAAAGAAACAGAAATGTAAGTATTCCTTAGGTCTAAGGCCTTAGGATAACCTCAGGAGAATTATAAATTTATTGTACTACTGCTACCCCTTTTGAAAAGTTTCTCTAGAAACTTTCCAAGCTATACTCTGTTCTTGATATTACTTATTTCAAGTCTGTAGCTTTGAAATTTATTATTATTATTATTATTATTTTATGTATTTAGTACAGGGTCTCACTACACAGCTCAGACTCATAGTGATCCTCCCCTTTATCAGCCTCCCAAGCTCTGGGATTACAGGTGCACACACCATGCCCAGTCTCAATTGCTGTCTCAGCAGGCCTTAGGGGTGGGGCCGGAAACAGGCCAGATATCGAACCCCCAGCCCCTGCATCTGCCTAAGTAGGCACTTTAATCTGTTGAGCTATCTGGCTGGCCCTATAATTTATTATTGACTCTTTAGGAAAAATAATTTGGGGATTTTTATAAAAATTCATGGTTTTGCAATTTTAACTTTGATTTTTATTGATGAAATGAATTATTTTCTTTGACAGTGAAGAATGTGGAGACAGGCCAGAATATCCCAGGAGTGAAAATGTTTTTTGGGTATGAGATTGTGAATGGTGAGTATTTTGTGTTCCCTCAGTGCTGATACTGGGATTTACAGCCCCAAACTCCATTGCCCTTCTTTGTTCCAGGATTCTGGGCAGAGTGGCACA